AATGCCGACATATTCCCCGCGCGACAAGTCGCATCAGTCGAGAAGAGCGTTTTCTTCGCCACCGACTTTTGTTCTGGATTTGGAATCCCAGTCGCGACATCGGCTCTGACAACCGAATATATTGGAGAAGCCAACCCCTTTCTTGTTGCGATGTTCTGGTTTTGCAACCGGTTCAGGGCTGCGGGAGAAAATCTCATCGCATCAAATTCCACACTGCACGAACTGCACACCTTGCGCACGAATATCTTGAGCACTTCAGAAAATTGCTGTGAAATGGGCGAGAATATCCTGCCAGTGCATCGGGGATCTCGCCATTTTGTGCCCGTGACACTTAAGCCAGTTGCGGACCTTGCGGTGGTCGGTATCGCTTAATTCGGTTTCCTTGAACACCTGAGATATATTTAGATCAGGAGTCGACCGAATGAATACAGTGGTATAGATCTCAAGTTCGTGCTTGGTTTCTGAATCGTGCTTGCCAAGTTGGCATATTCCGTCGTTCAAACGACGAAACCTTCGAGACTGCCGGGTGCGAATAATTCCTCCACCTGCCATTTCTTCTTCGCTAGGCCCTTGAACATGATTGAGCGGGTCAATTGCAAACTGAACGAAAGACTGAACGGTACCTGGTTGAAGGAATACTCGAGGAATTTATCCAAAGTACGCCGGTTCTGAGACGTGAGGCCGTCCTGCCACCACTTCTCTTCACCGTCACTGCACATAGCAGCTTGCGTCTCTTCAACATGAAATTGTAACCACGGTAGAATGTATCTGAAATTCGCGAGGTTTGGGGGTACGGAGACGCATTATCGCATAGGAACTAACCTCAATGCACCACGCTCGTGGATGGCTGCATAGGCATATTCGAAAGCGGCGGCGAAGGCTTTCGTAAGCGAACGAGCGACCCATGGATGTTTTTCTAACACCGACCGCTTCACCACGATCACATGCTGGAAAGCGTGAGCATGGGGAGTGCAGGCAAAAAAAACTTCTAGTTACCATGATTGGAAAAATTCCAGTACGGCGAAAATATTCTTGATAATGGTCCAATTCAAGTCCGCGATATGGATCGAGGCGTACCTTGTTCAACTTGCATGGCGTTTGGGAAAAGTCGTCCGACATCAGGATGCTTCCCGAAGGTGGAGGGCGCCGTCCTGCAACATTAGCTGAGAGTATGTAAGACGAGAACCATACTCACGCGCTCTCTAACGCGTCGATTTCGCCATCGACGAGCATCTGCGCTAAACACTTACCTTGCGGGATAGATTGGATCTTGACATTATCGCCGAGATTCAAAGCGATTTTCTCCTTGCGTTCAACACTGCTGGGTTCCACGTTACCAGTGAAATAATGCGGCGCATCATAGTTCAGTCCGTATTCGTCTTGAAGGATTCCGCGCTGCCAGACGGGTGCAGTCATTTGAAACTCAGGCGTACCAATGCGACGTCCGGAAAGCTGAGAAGGATGTGTGATCCCCGCTTTAGTGTTGACGTAAATGGACTGGTGGCGGAAAAATCGCGACGGAAACACGGGAAGCGCGTAGAAAGGAGGATCCTCGCGATTCAACGTGAGCTGCATCAGAAGATGAAGGGTCGCAGATTTGTTCTTTGGGTAGAGGCTCACAACATAGGATGAGAGAGAAAGTTCGCTGACATCAAATTCCTGATTTTTGAGCTGTCTGAAGAAACTGAAGGGCACTGAATTTTCCATGCAGAATACAGCAAAATAGATGTGACCTACGTTTCTTCTACTCTGAGAAGACGATAGGAAACGTATGAGGAGCGGCAAGAGCGTGTATTGAGGTCTTATACCTGAGATTCAAGAAATTGAGTTCAATTCCCTCAGGTCTCACACGTCCATCTTCCAGGGCTTTAACGCGATCGTAGTCCCAGCAGGCAAGTGAAAGTTGCAAGGGTGCCATATGAAAGTGCAAAAACACACTCGAAAGCGAGCTGGGAGAACGAAGAGAAGACGCGGGGGGAGAGGGGTCACGTCACACATCACGTTTGGCTCTTTCCTCCACCACCCCTGAGTCCCTGACTGAGTCAGACTGACCCTCACTGTGGCCTAGGAAAGGCGGAATAAATTCATCCCAGTCGTCGCTCTTTTCGAACAGTTGCCACCATTGGGTCATGTCAATGTCAAAGTCGGAGCCGACACCAGAAGGCCCAGAACTGGGTTGCAAGTTTGCAACTTGCCAGATGGTCGAGCGGCGACGAGTCGGTAATAAATTTCGAACCCGAAATCCCTTCAATTCATCGGCGGTCGCAATCGTGGTTTCTTTCTCGCGTGCCGAAAGTCGGACTCGATCAACCTCATATATCAGTTCCATTTGGTTTTTCTTTCCAAAACTTCGCTCGCTTGGCAACTGGGGTTCGGCAACTGTCATTCGGTTCTCAAGTTCAACAAATGCGAGGTATATGTACTATTTTTGGGCTTTCTCTTGCCCTACCCTCTTGTCTCCTCCCTCCACCCGAGAGCACTTTTGACAATGTCCTCAAAAGAGGTTGGCGAAATCGACGACAAATCCTCTGGGCAGGACCATAAAGTGGACGTTTCCGATGCTGGAGATGCTGAATCGCGTCTGTCTGTCCGTTCCTCTTTCCTCTATTCCCGTTGAGCAAGGTATTCAGAGGGCGTGCATGTCAACCTTGGCCAGTCAGGGCAAAACTTGAAGCTCGACAAGACCGGACTCCCTCTCATACCTCAGCCTTCCGATGATCCCTCTGATCCCCTCAACTTTCCTCAGTGGTTGAAGGTAGACGGTACAAGCGTATTCCAAGTACAGTTCTGCTGACTTCAGCCAGGTCGCAATCTTGCTGCAAGTCAGTTTCCTTGCCCTTCTTGGTCCCTTGAACCAGGCCACGGTCAATCCCGGTGAGCTAGACGTTGTTTCACGCTCAGCTTTTTGTTCAACTTTTCTTTAGCCTTCGTACCTCTTGCGGCTCATTTTCATATATCGACTGTGGAGGCGAGGTGAGTCACGGTGTCTTCCACTGAGCTACTATGATGTTATCTCAATTCTCAACTCATCCCAAGTTATCAAACTACCATTGCCATCGGTAACATCAAGGTCTCTTTTAGGTTGAAGCGTCGCTGATTTCCTGGCATAGCTTTCGCTGGCATTGGTTCCTTCATCTGGGTGCCGCTGGCAAATACCTATGGCCGTCGCCCGCTCCTTCTCTTCACAACTCTCATTGCGGCCGCATCATCGCTAGGCTCCGGAAACGCAAATACTTGGTCTCAGCTAATTGCGACTCGGGTACGGGTTGTGATTAAGATTCAACCTCGCGTCTCTAACGCTAATATCAGGTTCTCAACGGTCTCGGCACGTCATCTTTCTTCACTCTCGGCGCTGGCATGGTCTCTGATACGTTCTTCCTCCATGAAAGGTAACCCTCGCTCTCATTCTCCGGTATTTCTCTGACGAATGAGCACCAGAGGTCGTGCTATGGGGATATTCACTGTTTTCCTCACTAACTCGGCCCACGTCGCGCCAATCCCAGGTCAGTGTGTGTCTCTGAATAATCCAAGGAAGGCTTTCAACACACCGTAGGTGGATTCCTGGGGCAATTCGTGAGCTACAGGTAAGCAGAATGGCTGTAGCCTCTATCTGATTCTTACGAAGGCTACCCGAGGTGGTGCTACTATCTGCCGGCGATCCTCGACATGACGATGTTCGGCGTCATGTTCTTCTGTCTGCCCGAGACTCTGTACCTTCGTGGATCCACGCCCGTTGTCACGGACAAACCTATCCTGCGAAGAATGAAGCTCTGGGGTCTGCGACCGAAAGGAAAACACCTCAAACTTTCTGACTTCTTTCAGCAGTTCATCATGTCTGTCGTTTTTTTCTTCCGCCATTCGCTAAGCTGACTCTCATACAGGTTCAAATATCCTACTGTCCTTTTGACCGCCTTGTACTACTCTGTAACATTCACTCTCAGCTCCATCCTTCCAGCCGTCACATCCGCGACACTTTTCCGTCGGCTTTACAAGTTCAACGCCTCGCAGACCGGGCTCGCTCTCGGAATCGGCACTCTCATCGGATCAACCCTAGGCGAGCTTCTCGGTGGAGTCGTCGTTGACCGATCCATGTATCTCAGTCGCAAGAGCAAAAAGGACGGGGTTATTGTCCCGGAAGTCAGGTACGCGCGACATGTTCATCTTCGTACTTGACATTGACGCGGTGTAGACTCCACGGCATCTGGGTCGGTGCGGTCATTCAACCTGTAAGCTTTCGTCTCCTTTGATATTTGAATGAAATTGAACCAAAACAGATTGGGTTACTGATCTGGGGTTTCTGCATTCAATACAAGAGTGAGCTTCCTAGCGTAAGGTTTTGTTTGATGGCATTCTCACCTCAATGCAGCCCCGTACATCGGGCCGACGATGGGATTCAGCATCATGTGTTTCGCGATCCAGTGAGTGTTCTTCAACCTGTTCGGGCACAAACACCAATTGCACACGTCAGGATCATCTCAACCGTCGTATACTCGTACAACGCCGATTGCTATCGACCGCAAACACCTGAAATCGCTCAAGTTCTGAACTTTGGTCGTCAAACCGTGGGAATGACAAGTACGTCGTTGTTCACTCAAGCAGAGTCTGTTGTCTGACCGGTTGTTCTCCTTATAGCTGGATTCTGGGCTATGTCAGACATTTCATTTGTTTGTCTTTTCTGTGCTCAACCATCTTTTCACTTTTACAGTCCCTTGGGCGACAAGATTGGGTTCCACTGGATGGCCGTCACGATGTCGCTGGTCGGCATCGTCACGCTTCTGCCTGTCGTCTTCTTCATGTTCCACGGAAAAACAATTCGGGATAGGCTGGGTGTGCCAAAGTACAATCGCTCGCTATGATATATCACATCTTTTCTATCTCCACGCTCATTTTTTTGGTGTTTTTGTGTGTAAATCAAACATCGGTTTTCTCTGGCATTTGTACATGCTGCAGTTCCGGGCTTTTACAGAGCGCGACAAAAAAACCAACATATACCTACTGCACGACGCGAGCAGGATTTGAACCTACGCCCACATAGTGGAACAGATAAACATAGTCTGCATGAGTTGTCATTCGAATCTGTCGCTTTAACCACTCAGCCATCGCGCCGTCATCTAGTCGAGCAGATTCGGTTTATTCAGAATCCGTCGTGCTAGCGGGATCAGTGCACTCGGAAAAGCAGGAGGTGTAGAGTAAATTTCCTTTTTCGGATGCGAAGCGGTTGTTTGTTTGTGCTGCATTTTGATCGGCACCAAAATATATCTTTGGGGTCTTGGCAGGTCCCCTCGATATTCATAGGTTGACAGAAGCTGTCCGCGAAGGGAGCTTTTTGCTTGGGCCAAAAAAAGGCTTCCATCAAAGGACGAAGATGGATTAAGTATGGTATTTTTATAGGGAAGCCTGTAGGAGGAACGCAGGAAGAGAAGGAAGTGAGAGGAATATATCCATGATCTCAAATTGCGGGGAGCTCCCCCACGCAAATACATCCATCCAGCGTCCGTACCCGGTACAAAATTCCACAGAATATATTGCAAAGGCTGGTAAACCCCATAAATACGACTAAATTACTAGGCTAGGACTTGACACATGCATTCAACGAGCGACATTTAACTTTTGTTCTTGGATTCTTACTCAAAGCTTCGCCTTGGAGCTGAGGTACTGGTTCCCGCGCTGGAGCTGGGCAGCTGCGTCGTTTACCATATTGTCGACGATGGTTTTGGCGGGGAGAACGTCGTTGATGAGCTATCAACTTATGTGAGCGCAAACGGAGGATTCATAGAAGTGGACGCACCGAAGAAACACGGCCCATGAGCCAGGGACGACCTTCGAGCGATTTTTCGGGGTGCTTCTCGAGTTCAACTTCGTGCGGGAGGAGACCCTTGCTCGTGAGCTCCTTGATCTCAGCCTGGCGGTTGTTGTTCCTGCACAACGGCAACGGGATTCAACGACTGTTAGAGGCAAAGTGAATAGACAAAACGCACCAGTCATCGACATACGGTGTCCTCCGGACACGCAGCGGTCGCCCAGTGAAGATGAGAGTCGTAACCGCATCCTCAAACCCAGCGCTCATAATCATCTCCTTGTGCTTCTGCGGTGCGCTTGCCTCCGTTGCAGCGACGAAACGTGTACCAACCCCTATGCACGCAAAGACACACCGTCAGTCCGATATCAAGGAATTTCCAAGTCACACGACAAACGCACAAACTGCTTCGGCGCCCCACATAAGGTTCGCCGCAAGACCCCGTCCATCATACACAGCGCCGGCGCCAATAACGTATACCGGCTTGCCCGTAAGGGGCGACTTGTGGCCTTTGACCGCGTCGACACATGCAGGAATGAGGATGCTGGCGGGGATATCACCAGTGTGTCCTCCGCCCTCGCCGGCCTGTGCGCAAATGAGGTCCACACCAGCTTCGAGTGCCTTCGCGACGTGCTTCGGGTGTCCAACCATGTTCATAATCTATCACATTGCGACAGTGTAAGGGCACTACGACTCCGCTAAGAAACGGGAGACGTACGGGAATGCCGGCTTGGTGTAATCTGTCGACGGCGTGCTTGGGAGGGATACCGATAGCGCAGACAAATAGAGAAGTTTTCTCCTCGATGATGACTTCAATGAGGTCCATGAGCTTTCCCTTCGTGTAGTCGTACTATTTTGTTGCGCTATTAGTCCCTGCAACTGAAGGCAACGTCGGAGTTACTCACGTTAGTTTTCCGCGCCGAGCCTCCAATCTGAGGAATCAGCAAGTCGACGCCGAACGGCAGTGACTTGTCCACCAGCGCCTCTTTCACCGAACGAATCTATCAAGACCCACTCGGTCAGCACCTAAGAAATCTCCGGAACGGCGAGACCAGAACTTACCTGCTGGCGAAGGACCTTCGGGGTATACCCGAGCCCACCAATGACACCCAACCCGCCAGCGTTGCTCACAGCCGCAGCGAGCTCGGGACCGGCGGCGATGTTCATCCCTTCGCAGTGTCAACTACTCAGTTCATGGGCGGGAGTTGGAGGATATTACCTGCGAGCAGGACGGGATGCTTGATCCCAAAAAGCTCAGTTACGGGGGTCGATATCGTCGACATGATTGTGGGGAGAAAAAAAGAGTAAGCGTAGAGACCGATCCATGTGCTCCGGGTTTATATGAGTGTATTCGCAGCGTGATTCTCAACACATTTGGCTCGGCGAGACGAAACCGGCACAGTCCCTGACCCGAATACCCGGGTCTCACTTTTTTCGTGCATTTCAAGGTCTAAGGTCCAAGGGGAACAGGAGGAGACAGGCAGGGAAAGGGACTATACAATGTCACTGTGAAAATAATACAATGCAGAGGGTAATGCAAAACAGAGTAGAAAATGCAAATGAAAGCGATTAGGCACCTGGCAGGGGGTCGTACACTACGTGAATCCGGGGTATACGTATCCTCCACCTCAAGGCGCGGCCGGCGTTGCACCATCGTCAACGTCGTTCGAGGGTCGCCGCACATTTTGCATCAACCGTCTCAACCGCGCCAACTCCGCCGCTAATTGCCTGTAAACAAACGAGTAAGCATGGTATTCGGCAGCCCAAAAGCATACATTCAACTCCCCTGGCAGTGTCCGCAGTCTCCTCGCTCTCCTTGTTGCTCCTGTTCACCTCCTCCTTAAGCTGTCGAATCTCCTCCTGCCACCCCTTCTCCAGCTCCCGCTCCGCCGCCTGGTCAGCCTCCCGCGCAGCCTTGATCTCCGCCCGCCCCTCCCCAGAGCCCTTGATCTCTTCTAGCAGCTTCCTATACTTCTTCCCAGCGCTCTCCGCCTCACCCCTCAGCTTCTCTTCCCGCTTCGTCATCTCCGCCCGCAGCCGATCCGTGTCACTCTTGAACCCCTCAACAAGCCCTTTCATGCTGTCCCGCAAAGTGATATACTCGCGTTCGGACTTTGATGACAACGCAGTCGACTCTGCAAGAGCGGTTTCCATTTCACGCATGGTCTTTTTTGAGGTGGTGGTCTCAGACTTGAGTTGTGTCTTCAGCGTAGTGGCTTCCGCCTCCGCCTTGCGCGCTCGTTCGAGGACCTGACCAGCCGCCGGCGTAAGTCACCACTGAATCATTCGGCGACCTGCGGGAGATACGCGTACCTCTTGCAACAACCGCTCCTTCCTGGCGACAACATTATTCAGCCCCTCGTTCTCCAATCTCAGTCGCTCCCTAGCCTCTTTCAAATCCTCCGTCTGCCGCGTCAGCTGGGCGACACTGCGCTGGGAAACCCGCAACTGTGCCTTGGTGTTTTCCAGGGCATGGCGCGCATTGGATACGCCGGTCTGCAGATCCGCAAGAACTCTGGTCGTGTTTCCCGGCGTGAGGGAGAGACGGCGATTGGGCGAGGGAGGCTGCAGCGACGAGGGGGACTTGGTATCCGTGTCTATCGTAAGTAATGAAGATGATGACACGCTGACGCGAGTTTGGCCATCGTCCGCAAGTGCGCGGGCGTTACCTGCAAACGGAAATTATCAGCATGTGGGCTTACGCCAGAATAAAGGAAGAGAACACGAACCGACAGAGGCTACGGGAATGCCTGAATGTTTCGCGTAAGTGAAATGTATAGTAGATGCAAATATCAAGGACACGCACGGCTAAGTGTCCGTGTGGGGCTGCCAGTACGGTAACTCGAGGGAGGAGATGAGGGGCCACCATTGGAGAAACTCATGGGTACGCCCTCCTTGAAATCCTCCAATGGGACACTACTGGTATCGCGGCGAGGAAGCGGCAAATTTGAATCAGCTCCAGCAATGCCAGAGAGGACATCGTAACTTGAACGGCGGGCAATCTTGCTGGGAGAGGTGGGCGAAGTAGCAGGCAGGGGTTGAATGGGGTCCGAAAGCTCTGACGGGTATGGCCTGGGTCCACGAAGTAACATGTTTTCGGCCTTTTGCAGTTGCGCTTGCTGCTGTCTGATAGAAATTGAATTAATATTTCCTCGTTAAATAGGTATCTGTGAGCTCCCACCTGATGGAATGCTTGAGGCTGGAGACCTGGGTCGTGTGAGAATCTTTCACAGAGTGTTCGTCGTCGACTGACCTGATTCCGTACCACGACTGTAAGGCAGTGTAAGTTAGGCTTTCGCTCACTCCGGAATGCCCACCAAAACATACCTGGGTCGTCTGAAGTGAACGCGGGACTCGGAGCGCGAGTGGAAGTTGAACGGATTGAGCTGCGCGACGACGGACGGTCTGCGGACCTGGGTGTGCTTAGGCTTCGTTCGTGTGAGGGCGGAGAAGTTGGATATGATAAACGGCTGCCAGAAGACATTCACTTTGAAGAGAAAACAAAGAAAAAAGGGCGTCGAAAAGCGAGGAGAAGAGGAAGAACCACCAAGCCGAAGCAATGAAAATGGACCCCAATGGCCGCCAGAGAGGTCCAAACGGGGAGAGTCACACTTTGTGACATCTCGCGAAAGACAGTCACGCTCGCGTCTTGTCCGCTACCACTACCGTCGTCCCCGCCACTTGAAGTGGAATAGAATCATGAGCTGCAGTATATGTCTCTCGAGCAGACTGAAGGAACCAGTCTCTATTCCCTGCGGTGCGCTGCATACAGCGTTTTTCTGTAGGCTCGGCCACTGATTTTACCGTGTTTCAAGGTCATGTCTACTGTACAGATTGCCTCACAGCACATATCTCAGCGACGAGCCCAGACGGTTTCACCTCAACATGTCCGGCATGTCGAGAAAAATTCAACGTGGGTAAGGCATTGAGCTGCTTTCTTATCGCATCATGCTCATCATTGTGCAGTACGACCGGAGGTTTGTAGTCAGATCGCACTATCCTCTCTCTCGTTCATTGAACCATGCCACACAGTTGACTTGCCTCCCGAAAAAGTTCCACCAATACATCGTACCGAGCATTCGGCGTCTTTACATCGACGTCCCAGGAAACGACGGCCTGCGAAAAAAGCTGTCCGCGTCCGAGGCGCGCGTCAGAGCACTTGAAGATGATAAGGAGCGACTCATGGCTGAATGCGAGCGGCATATTGCCGCAGCTCAAGCTCACTGTCGCGGCGAGACGAGCGCGATACGCAACGTGATGAACCTGAAGGACGAGCTGGCGGAAATGCGGCACGAGTTGGCAGAGGCAA